TAGAAGTAGTTACAAACAACAGACAGTACTATTGTTTTTATATAGAAGCAGTTACATATAACAGATAGTACTATTATTTTTATATAGAAGTAGTTACTACAGCAGATAGTACTATTATATTTATATAGAAGCAGTTACATATAACAGACATTACTATTATATTTATATAGATGCAGTTACGTATAACAGACAGTACTATTATATTTATATATAAGTAATTACATACAACAGACTACTATTCTATTGCTATAGAAGTAGTTACATACAACAGACAGTACTATTATATTTATATATAAGTAATTTCATATAACAGACAGTACTATTTTCTTTATATAGAAGTAGTTAAATACAACAGACAGTACTATTATATTTATATAGAAGTAGTTACATACAACAGACATTATTCTTATATTTATATAGAAGAGTTACATATAACAGATAGTACTATTTTCTTTCTATTCGAAGTAGTTACATACAACAGATAGTACTATTATATTTATATAGAAGTAGTCAAGTATAATAGACAGTACTGTTATATATATACAAGTAGTTAAGTACAATAGACAGTACTATTATGTTTATATAAGAAGTAATTACATACAACAGACAGTACTATTATATTTATATAAAAGTAGTTACATATAACATACAGTACTATTATATTTATATAGAAGTAATTACATACAACAGACAGTACTATTATGTTTATATAAGAAGTAATTACATACAACAGACAGTACTATTATATTTATATAGAAGTAGTTAAGTACAATAGACAGTACTATTATGTTTATATAACAAGTAATTACATACAACAGACAGTACTATTATATTTATAAAAAGAAGTTACATACAATAGACAGTACTGTTATATTTGTATAGAAGTAGTTACATACAACAGACATTATTTTTATATTTATATGGAAGTAGTTACAAAGAACAGACATTATTCTTATATTTATATAGAAGCCGTTACATATAACAGGTAGTACTATTATATTTATTTAGAAGTAGTTCATAAAACAGACAGTACTATTCTATTTATATAGAAGTAGTTAAGTACAATAGACAGCATTATTCTATTTATATAGAAGTAGTTTCGTACAACAGACAGTTCTATGATATATATATATAGAAATAGTTATGTGCAACACACAGTTATATTATATTTATATTAAACTAAATACATACAATAGACAGTACTATTCTATTTATATATAAGTAGTTACGTATAAGAGACAGTACTATTATATTTATATACAAGTCATTACACACAACAAACTGTACTATTCAATTTATATAGAAGTAGTTACATTCAACAGACAGTACTATTATAGTTATATACAAGCAGTTACATATAACAGACAGTACTATTATGTTTATATATAAGTAATTACATACAACAGACAGTACTATTATGTTTATATATAAGTAATTACATACAACAGACAGTACTATTATCTTTATATAGAAGCAGTTACATATAACACATCGTACTATTATATTTAAATAGAAGTAGTTAAGGACAATAGACAGTGCTATTATGTTTATATAGAAGTAGTTACATATAACAAACAGTACTATTATATTTATATAAAAGTAGTTACAATTAACAGACAGTACTATTAAATTTATATACAAGCCGTTACATATAACAGACATTACTATTATCTTTATATAGAACTACTTACATACAACAGACAGTACTATTATATTTATACAAAGAAGTTACATACAACAGAAAGTACTGTTATATATATACAAGTAGTTAAGTACAATAGACAGTTCTATTATGTTTATATAAAATCTAATTACATACAACAGACAGTAGTATTATATTGGTATAAAAGTAGTTACATACAACAGATAGTAGTATTATATTTATATTAAAGTAAATGCATACAATAGACAGTACTATTCTATTTATGTATAAGTAATTACATACAACAGACTACTATTCTATTTATATAGAAGTAGTTATATTTAATAGACGTTAATATTATATTTATATAGAAGCAGTTACATATAACAGACAGTACTATTATATTTATATAGAAGAAGTCACATACAACAGACATTATTAACATATTTATATAGAAGATGTTATAAACAACAGACAGTACTGATATATGTATATAGAAGTAGTTAAGTACAATAGACAGTTCTATGATATATATAGAAGAAGTTATGTACAATAGACAGTACTATTCTATTTATATAGAAGTAGTTTCGTACAACAGACAGTTCTATGATATATATATATAGAAGTCGTTATGTGCAACACACAGTTATATTATATTTATATTAAACTAAATACATACAATAGACAGTACTATTCTATTTATATAGAAGTAGTTTCGTACAACAGACAGTTCTATGATATATATATATAGAAGTCGTTATGTGCAACACACAGTTATATTATATTTATAT